GTAAGTGCGTTTGTACGTGTATGTTTGGGGGTCTGAAATGGACTAATCTACTTCTCAATATTCCTTATGGGAACAAATTCGGTCAGTACTGGCACCTGAATATACTTCTGGAATGAAAAAATATCGTTAACCGGGGGTCCACTGTATATACGTCAAACACGGTACCTCGTAAGACGTATATATACGGCTGCGACAGTCAAAGGGTTAAGGGAAATCAGCCTGATGACACTGGAGGACAGGAGGGTCAGGGGAGACGTGATAACAACATATAAAATACTGTGCGAAATAGACAAGGTGGACAAAGACAGGATGTTCCAGGGAGGGAACACAGAAACAAGAGGTCACAATTGGAAGCTGAAGAGTCAGATGAGTCAAAGGGATGTTAGAAAGTACTTCTTCAGTCATAGAGTTGTCAGGCAGTGGAATAGCCTAGAAAGTGATGTAGTGGAGGCAGGAACCATGCACAGTTTTAAGACGAGGTTTGATAAAGCTCATGGAGCAGGGAGAGAGAGGATCCAGTAGCAACCAGTGAAGAGGCAGGGCCAGGAGCTAAGACTCGACCCCTGCAACCACAAATAGGTGAGTACACACACACACACACACACACACACACACACACACACACACACACACACACACACACACACACACACACACACACACACACACACACACATGCAAGAAAAAGATCTGGGGGTGAGTATAACACCGAGCACATCTCCTGAGGTGCACATCAATCAGATAACTGCTGCAGCGTACGGGCATCTGGCAAACCTAAGGATAGCTTTCAGATACCTCAGTAAGGAATCGTTCAAGACTCTGTACACCATTTACATCAGGCCCATACCTGGAGTATGCAGCACCAGTTTGGAATCCACACCTGGTCAAGCACGTCAAGAAATTAGAGAAAGTGCAAAGGTTTGCAACAAGACTAGTCCCAGAGCTAAGGGGATTGTCCTACAACGAAAGGTTGAGGGGAAATCGACCTGATGACATTGGAGGACAGGAGGGTCGGGGAGACAAGATAACGGCATATAAAATACTGCGCGGAATAGACAAGGTGGACAAAGATGAGATGTGGACACAGAAACAAGTGGTCACAATTGGAAGTTGAAGACTCAGATGAATCAAAGGGATGTTAGGAAATATTTCTTCAGTCATAGAGTAGTTAGGCAGTGGAATACCCTAGAAAGTGACGTAGTGGAGGCGGGAACCATACATAGTTTTAAGACAAGGCTTGATAAAGCTCATGGAGCAGGGAGAGAGAAAACCTAGTAGCAATCAGTGAAGAGGCAGGGCCAGGAGCTATGACTCGACCCCTGCAACCACTGTCATGTGGGTTTGATAACGTGGATGGGGTAAAAACACTCACGTAGGCTGGTTAGTACGTATAATTATAATGGAAAGTATGGGAAGCACCATCAGCCGCCCTGCCTCTCTCTGCTCTCTATCTCAGACTGACCCACCAGTGCCTATGGGGTGAGCGGCGTTCAAAAACACGCTATGGTCAGCAGCAACGTGAATAATAGTCACTGATTCACACACGGTTGGTAGTGAGTCATCTACTGGTAACTGGTTACTGGTAACTGGTACTACTGAGAGCTCGGCGATGCTAATGTATGTCGTCCCGACATACATCTAATACAAACTAGAGATGGCAGGCGTACGGCTTGGGCTGATTCTATACAATGTCAAAGTACACAACAATTGAACATTATAACATACATAAGTAGAATATTGGAACGGAAGCTTATGTAATTGACTATAATGAAACTTACTGTAATGAAACTGTAATGCATTACAAGATATGATATAGCACAAATCATTGAATGAAACTCAACATTGGGATTACACAATAGATGTGATAAAAAAAAATTTGATCAATCGATCTGTATTCATGTGATCTACGGATTCTGAGGAAGAAATACAGTGGACCCTCGACCAACGATGGCATCGATTAACGATAAATCTGACTAGCGATACATTTTAACGCAAAAATTTTGCCTTGGCTAGCGCTTAAAAACCCGACCAGTGCTATTCGTTCCGTACCATACGTGTCCACTTTGGCCTGAGCGCGCCTCACTTGTCCCTTTGGTGCCAGTGTTTACAAGCCAGCCAGCCACCGCGGTCGCTTCCAAACATACAACTGGAACATTTCATATTATCACAGCCTTTTTAGTGACTGCACCTGCAAAATAAGTCACCATGGGCCCCAAGAAAGCTTCTAGTGCCAACCCTACAGCAAAAAGGGTGAGAATTACTATGGAGATGAAGAAAGAGATCATTGATAAATATGAAAGTGGAGTGCGTATCTCTGAGCTGGTCAGGATGTATAATGAACCCCAATCAACCATCGCTACTATTGTGGCCAAGAAAACGGCAATCAAGGAAGCTGTTCTTGCCAAAGGTGCAACTATGTTTTCGAAACTGAGATCGCAAGTGATAGAAGATGTTGAGAGACTTTTATTGGTGTGGATAAACGAGAAACAGATAGCAGGAGACAGCATCTCTCAAGCGATCATATGTGAAAAGGCTAGGAAGTTGCATGACGATTTAATTAGAAAAATGCCAGCAACTAGTGATGTGAGTGAATTTAAGGCCAGCAAAGGTTGGTTTGAGAGATTTAAGAAGCGTAGTGGCATTCATAGTGTGATAAGGCATGGTGAGGCTGCCAGTTCGGACCACAAATCGGCTGAAAAATATGTGCAGGACTTCAAGGAGTACATAGACAGTGAAGGACTGAAACCTGAACAAGTGTTTAATTGTGATGAAACAGGCCTGTTTGGGAAGAAAATGCCAAGCAGGACCTACATTACTCAGGAGGAAAAGGCACTCCCAGGACATAAGCCTATGAAAGACAGGCTTACTCTGTTGATGTGTGCCAATGCTAGTGGTGATTGCAAAGTGAAGCCTTTATTGGTGTATCACTCTGAAACTCCCAGTGTTCAGGAAAAACAATGTCCTCAAGGCTAATTTGTGTGTGCTGTGGAGGGCAAACATTAAGGCATGGGTCACTAGGGACTTTTTCTATGACTGGTTACACCATGCAGACTGAGTACAGTCTAGGGGGGCCAGAGACTACAAACCTTACTCAAGGAAAAAGATCTTGGGGTGAGTATAACACCAGGCACATCTCCTGAAGCACACATCAACCAAATAACTGCTGCAGCATATGGGCGCCTAGCAAACCTCAGAACAGCATTCCGACATCTTAATAAGGAATCATTCAGGACCCTGTACACCGTGAACGTTAGGCCCATATTGGAGTATGCGGCACTAGTTTGGAACCCACACCTAGCCAAGTACGTAAAAAACTAGAGAAAGTACAAAGGTTTACAACAAGACTAGTCCCAGAGCTAAGGGATATGTCCTAAGAGGAGAGGTTAAGGGAAATCGACCTGATGACACTGGAGGACAGGAGAGATAGGGGGGACATGATAATGGCATACAAAATACTGAGAGGAATTGACAAGGTGGACAAAGACAGAATGTTCCAGAGATGGGACACAGCAACAAGGGGACACAGTTGGAAGTTGAAGACACAGATGAATCAAAGGGATGTTAGGAAGTATTTCTTCAGTCACAGAGTAGTCAGGAAGTGGAATAGTTTGGGAAGCGATGTAGTGGAGGCAGGATCCATACATAGCTTTAAGCAGAGGTATGATAAAGCTCACGGTTCAGGGAGTGACCTAGTAGTGACCAGTGAAGAGGCGGGGCCAGGAGTTTGGACTCGACCCCTGCAACCTCAACTAGGTGAGTATATGTACACACACACACACACGCATGCACGCACGCATGCACGCACGCATGCACGCACACAAACACACACACACAAACACACACACACACACACACACACACACACACACACACACACACACACACACAACACACACACACACACACACACACACACAAACACACACAAAGCTCATGGAGAGCAAAACACTGCTACGATAAAATGTCACATGAGTTGCATTTATGTCCACTTACCTAACATTCTGTTGGTAATTCTACTATTATTACTATGTAAATTATCTTGTGAGGTGCCCAAAGTTAGTTTTAATTTCTTAACACTTCCTGCAAATTTACAAATGTTATTATCTGTATCTTAAGATAGGTTAGATTACAGAGCTGATATTAAAAGTAACAAGTGAATTAGGGGCATTTTGTAGAAAGGCTGTGTAGATCAAACATAGGTTAGGTTAAATAAATCTGCAAAAAAATGTATATTTTGCCAGGTTAAAATAACAGTCCGCAATATGTTTGGCAACAAGGTGATCAAGCATAACCAGGATCATAATTAGCACTCATGGTGCTAGAATGGGATTGACTGTGCCACACTACTGAAGCAGTGGTCAGTTCAAGGAAAAAATCACAGCAGCAGTGTGAGTGTCGGGATAAAGTGAGTAGCAAAATAGCAATTCACAGAATACAGCAATTTTATTAAAAGTGACAAAGTGTGAATTAAGATTCTTCTTGTGTAAATCAGACATAGCTTATATAGTGAGATAAGTAGCTTCATTACATACAGTACTTACAAAGAAGTAAAAAAGCTTCCCAGTGCAATCAATTTACTCATTTACAAACTGGAAAATTTTCAAGGGGGGTGATGAAGTGAGTATACTACCTTCTATGTTACTCTACAACCAATTCTGAAGATTGCAAACAATGTAGCCCTAATTTGAGCATGAGGTCTGTGACTAATTCAGTCTAGCTATGCCACTTAAAGCAAAATTACTCCTTTTAAGTCAACACAATCAGCACTGATAATTCTGATAATTCATACATGGTACACAAATTTATAAAAATATGCATCAAGAAGGTAGCATTTCATCAACCTCATAAAAGCTGCTGTAAACATTATTTACAGAGTACTGTCCATGGATTTTATCTTATTCAGAATTAAATCTATGGTAATGTATCTTAACTCTAATTCTCAAGCCATTTACAAGATACTGCACATGGGAGTTTCTGGCTCCTTCACATAAGTTACTCACTCTTTACTATCTTCTCTTTTCTCCCAGACAGGGGACCCTGATGTTATGCGTGTCTCAGGACTAAAAACATTAACAAATTAATTAAACCGCAATGAAGATGCCCCATAATATATTCATCCAAAAACTAATTTGAGAATTATTAACAGCCAAACATAGTATAAATAATACAGTATGGAGGGCCCTGCATATACAGTACCTATTTTCTATGTTCCACATTTTTATTGGCTTTCAATTGAGCCATTGTTCCACATGCCAGTGACTATTGCCAGTGGGTGGAACTTAATGAACAATGGCTCAATTTGAAGCCAAAGAAAACATGGAAGACTGAAAAGAAGCTGCTGTATATGTGAGGCCTTTCTGTTCATGTGGGGCCCTGCTATATATGTGGTGCCCTGCTGTATATGTGGGCCCCTGCTGTATATGCAGGACCCTCCTGTAAATAAAAGAGCAAAAATACTAGTAGCTAATATACAGACAAATCCCTAGTGTAGTGACACAGATGCAGATACCTGTAATAGACGAGATTATTTTATAAAGAATTCAGATTGCTTTTCAGTCATACTCAATTTCTATTTTGCTCAAAATCTGTGAATCATCTGCAAAATACATACTGAGACAATCCACTCACAGCTTAATAACTAATTTTCACAACAAAAAGTGAATTAGGTAAAAGGACACAAGTACAACTCATACGACATTTTACTGTGGTAACATTTTGCTCTCCAGGAGCTTTGTCAAGCTGTTATGGCTTGACAGAACTCCTGAAGAGCAAAACGTTGCCACAATAAAATGGTCACATTAGTTATACTTGTGTCCTTTTACCTAATATGTATGTTAGTAATTCTACCAACATTATAACAATAAGTGAATTCTGTGCTTCTCTTTAAAGGCAAACTTAAATGAAAATGAGATGGTGCTTGGTACTCCTTAGTGAAAGCATGGTTAATTTATATAAAAACAAAATACAAGTCATTGGACAAAAGCACAAGCAATTATGATACGAACTACAGGTGTGAGTGTTGAAACAACCAGTCAGCAAAAACAGGTGGGAAGAATATGCTACATGAATCTGGTGCACAGCATACAGTATACAACTACTATTTGTGTTCATTTATATATAAAAAATTATTCAATGACTTTAACCCTTTGACTGTTTTCGACGTATAAATACGTCTTACGAGCCAATGTTTCTGACGTATATATACTCAATAATTCTAGCGGCTTCAAATCAAGTGGGAGAAAGCTGGTAGGCCCACATGTGAGAGAATGGGTCTGTGTGGTCAGTGTGCACCACATAAAAAAAATCCTGCAGCACACATTGCGTAATGAGAAAAAAAAAACTCTGATCGTTTTTTTGGAATAAAACGCCGACTTTGAGGTGTATTTTCGTATAGTATTTATCGTTGTATTCGCGTTTTCATGGTCTTAGGTGATAAAATGGAAAACATATTACAGAAATAGAGATGATTTTCATTACTTTTACGATGAAAACGACCTTGAAACTGAGCTCAAAGTAGCGGAAATGTTCGATTTTTACCAATGTTCAAGAGTACATAAATCACACCACACGTCCAATACACGTCAACTGGGGAGTCTAATATTCTTTCACTAGTGCACTGATATTATTTATACCATTTTTACAATAATGCAGTCGTCTGCATAACAGTAAATTTTGTATTTTTTTGTATGAATAAAAAATCAAAATAGAAAGCAATAATAATATAAGAGGGGCCTAGAGATGTGACTAATGAACAGAGCATATGTTATTTTAGTGCCACGAATGTCTACCTTGTTTTATTCTGGACCCTATTTGAAATTGGCATCTTTTTTATTTTGCGTGAAATTGGCCAAATTGCCAATTTCTGACCACCATATTGGGTAGTCCAAATTAGTAAATGGGAGGTTTCTTGTACTCAGCTGATACATAAAATGGAGTTCTAAAGAAATAGCTATGAGTTTGGTCAACTGGAACAATGGAATTGGCTGAAAATTGGGCTCAAAGTCGGCGAAATCGCCGATACGCATATGTCGCCGAGACCGCTAACTTCGCGGGAGCATAATTCCACGAGTTTTCTACCAAATTTCGAACTTTTGGTGTCATTACCATCGGGAAAAGATTCTCTATCATTTCATAAGAAAAAATAATTTTTTTTTTTTTCAAAAATTGAGCGACATAGAATGACAGTTTCAGAGAGGGGCCTGAAACAGTCAAAGGGTTAAACTAGAGGAAAGCAAAAGGCATTTAAGTTTAAATACCAAAGGAATGAAATTTTGAAAAGACGCATGAAAACAGCAGGAATTGCTTGCAGCATGTATTAGTCTTCAAGCAATTAGCATAAGCTCTAGCGATAAAAGAAATGTGCTGAAATACTTTAATTCAAAGACATACATGCGATCTTCAAATATGGAGCAATAAGCATCCATGTCCTCTTGCATTGTGAAATCTTCAGGATCACACAAGGGCACCAAGGAATACTCATGTACTCCAGGAAGGTGTCTCGGCCACATTGATACTCTTTGGGTGGATCTTCACTATCTATATGCACCTTCTATAAGCACACCAAAACAATGGTAATCAGAAGTATTACTCTAACAATATATTGGGGTGTCTTGTAATGCTGAGCCAACACACAGCAAAATAGTATTACTATTCTATACATTTTAATAAAAAAAACAGTTACTATGAGCAATGATGTACATAAGGCATTGTGTGGCAGAGAAGAATAAGAGCCAAATTCACACAAACAATAATAATAATAATCTTTATTTCTACAAGTACATGATACAACTTATAGGGACCATAGCTGACATTAATGACATACTATATAGAAAGCCCCTGGTTATGCAGAGCCTTTTGGGCAACCTAGATTAATTTTGTCCCCCAGGATGCAACCTACACCAGTCAGCTAACACCCAAGTACCTACTTGCTGTTAGGTGAACAGGGACAGCAGGTGTAAGGATACATGCCCAATGTTTCAACCTATACCCGGGATCGAGGGGAAAAACACAGGCATGGGGGAGATTGGAGCTATGAAGCTTAAGTTACCATATTTTGTTAAGGGACTCTGAGAGTAACTTAACCCTTTGAGGGTTTCGGACGTACTAGTACGGCTTACGACCCAGGGTTTTTGACATACTAGTATGCCTAAATTCTAGCGCCCTCAAATCTAGTGGGAGAAAGCTGATAGGCCTCCATATGAAAGAATGGGTCTATGTGGTCAGTGTGCACAGTATAAAAAAAATCCTGCAGCACACAGTGCATAATGAGAAAAAAAAAACTTTGACCGTTTTTTTGGAATAAAACAGCGACTTTGCACTGTATTTTCGTATGGTATTTATTATTGTATTCTAGTTTTCTTGGTCTCATTTTATAGAATGGAAGGCATATCATAGAAATTGAGATGATTTTGACTGGTTTTACAATGAAAAGTACCTTGAAATTGAGCTCAAAGTAGCAGAAATGTTCGATTTTTACCAAAGTTCAAAAGTAAACAAATCATGCCAAGCGTCCAATACACGTCAACTGGTGAGTCTAATATTCTTTTGCAAGTGCGCCAATATGATTCATACCATTTTTTACACTAATGCAGTAGTCTGCATAACAGTAAATCTTCTATTTTTTGTGAGAATAAAAATTCAAAGTGGAAAGCAAAAGAATGTAAGAGGGGCCTTGAGACGTGACTAATGAACAGAGGAAATGTCATTTTAGTGCCAGGAATGTATTTCTTGTTTGTTCTGGACCATATTCGGAAATTGGCACTTTTGAAATTTGTGTGAAATTGGCAAAATTGCTAAATTCTGACCACTGAACTGGATAATTGAAATTGGTAAATGGGTGGTTTCTTGCACTCATTCAATAGAAAATATGGAGTTCTAGCGAAATATTCATGTTTTTTGTCGACTAGTACAGTTGAACTGGCTGAAAATGGGGCTCAAAGTGGGCAAAATTGCCGATCTGTAAACATCGCCGAGACCGCTAACTTCACGAGAGCATAATTCCGTAAGTTTTCCATCAAATTTCATATTTTTGGTGTCATTATGATCGGGAAAAGATTCTCTATCTTTTCATAAGAATTTTTTTTTTTTTTTTTTTTAAATTTGGCTGACCCTGAGAACAAGTCTTGGAGAGGGCCTGTCGACCCTCAAAGGGTTAAAGATGCAGAAGACAATATCTACATGGTCCCACTAATAGATGACACATTAAAGAATCAGTTCCTTCACTAACACAGATTTTGGTGGTGTTGGAGCTTATTCTATTCTGCTACACAGTGCCTCCTATAACAAGCAATATAACACAAACAACAAGAAGCTTTACATGCTCCATATTTTTTTTTAAATCAAAACAAAGTGTATACAGCAGAACCCCTGTACCCAAGGATTTGGTTTTCAGTTATCCACAGTTTATCATGTACCAAAAATAACCCTTTTGCTTAATAATGGCCCCAAAGCACAAAAGTAGTGATGCTGGAAGTTCTTCAAAACATAAGAGAAGCCAAAAAGTGTGTGCAATCAGCAAAAAATGCTAATTCTCGACATACTGTTCATAATTTATTAATTAAACTTTATCATAGGTATATATGTAAACAAAAAACAACTTATATATAGTGTTTCGGGTATCCACAGTAGGTCTTGGAATGTATCTCCTGTGGATATGGGGGGACTACTGTATATCATATGGGCCAGTTCTCACAAAAAGCAATGTGGATGGTAGACTACTTTTAAAAATAATACAGTGGACCCCCGGTTCGCGATGCTATCAGTATCCGATAAATCCTGTAACCGATGCATTATGTATATCGCAGAAAATTTGCCTTACTTCCCGATACAAAACCCGGTATGCGATGTGGTTCGTACGAGACGTGTCCATGTGTGGCCTGAACTGCCCCATGTGTGCCAGTGTTTACAAGCCAGCCAGTGTGCGCGCATCTAAGGATACATTCGGTACATTCCATATTATCCATATTATCACTGTTTTTGGTGCCTGTTTTTGCAAAATACGTCACCATGGCCCCCAAGAAAGCTCCCAGTGCCAACCCTTCAACACCAAGGGTGCTAATGACTGTTGAAATGAAGAAAGAGATAATTGCAAAGTACGAAAGTGGAGTGCGTGTGTCGGAGCTGGTCAGGTTGTATAGTAAACCCCAATCAACCATCTCTACTATAGTGAGCAATAAAACGGCTATCAAGGAAGCTGTTCTTGCAAAAGGTGCAACTGTGATTACGAAACAGCGACCGCAAGTGTTAGAAAATGTTGAGAGACTGTTATTGATGTGGATAAATGAAAAACAGATAGCAGGAGATAGCATCTCTCAAGCAATCATTTGTGAAAAGGCTAGGCAGTTGCATGACGATTTGGTAAAAAAATTGCCTGCAACAGATATGTTGTGTGACAGAGGTCCAGTGACTCTCAACCTGGTCCTAGTGGCATTAAAAGAAGAAGGGAAGTAACCCCGGAAAAGGAATTGCTACCTCAAGTCCTAATGGAGGGGGATTTCCCGTCTAAATGCTAACACCATCCATACTCTCCCCTCCTCCCATCCCATCAATCATCACCAGATCTTCATTAAAGTAAGTGTCAATTATTCTTTCGTTATTTATTGTTATTTATTGTTATTGTTGTTATTGTAATTACTATTCTATTGCATTAAACTTAATATTTCATGTGGTAAAAGTTTTTTTTTCATACTTTTGGCTGTCTTGCACTGATTAATTTGATTTCCATTATTTCTTATGGGGAAAATTGATTCGCTTTCCGATATTTTTGGTTTACGATGAGTTCTCAGGAACGGATTAGTATCGCGAACCGGGGGTCCACTGTATATATGGATGACTTTACTGGTAGCATCATGAAATCTCCAAAATAATGAAAATATAAGTACACTGTAAAAAAATCATGTACTGTATTTAATTTATATATATTTCATCTATATAGGTCTGCTATAGAGTCCAGTATATTTGATCTGTCCACTCTGAAACAGCTCAAATTATAACAATCTACACATTAAGGGGCCAGGTATCTCATGCTCATGTGGGTTTACTTTATGTAAATTCACCTTGCCTCGGTCTCCCGCCAAGGTAGGGTGATAAACAAAAAAAAAAAAAAAAAAAAAAAAAAAGCTTTCACCATCACTCACACTATCGCTGTCTTGCTAGAGGTGTGCCAATACTACAGTTCAGATGTCCCTCCAAAATGCAAATATCTCCACCCCTCCTTCAGAGTGTAGGCACTGTACTCCCCACCTCTAGGACTCAAGTCTGGCTAACCAGATTCCCTGAATCCCTTCATAAATGCTATCTTGCTCACAATCCAACAGCACATCAAGTCATAAAAATTACTTGCCTCCACTCACTCCTAACACACTCATGCCTGCTAGATGTCCAAATCCCCTGCCAACAAAACCTTTACCCCCTCACTTCAACCTTTTCTAGGGCAACCCCTACTCTGCCTTCCCTCCACTTCAGATTTATACACCCTCCAAGTCATCCTATTTTGCTCCATATTCTCTAAATGACCAAACCACCTCAACAACCCTTTCCCAGCCCTCTGAATAATACCTTTAGTAATCCCGTACTTCCTTCTAACCCCCAAACTATGAATTCTCAGCATAATAATTACACCACACATTGCTACATTGCACACAAACATGACATCTCCACTGCCTCCAGCTGCCTCCTCCTCCTCCTCCTTGCTGCAACATTTACAACCCATGCTTCACACCCATATAATAGTGTTGGTACCACTATACTCTCATGGAAAATGTTCTTTGTTACCAGAGATGCCTCAATGCACCACTAGCCTTATTACCCTCATCAATTCTATGGCTCACCTTATGTTTCAGAGACCCATCCACCAACATGTTCACTCTTAAATATCTGAACATGTTCACTTCCTCCTTACTCCCTCCTTCCAATCTGATATTTAATCTTTCTGATATCCAATATATCAAATTACTGGTAGAAATGGGGATCACAGCATAAAAGTGAATTCACATAACATGACACAGCATAAATCAAGGAAAACTCAAGTAAACCACTGATATAATGGACCTTGATATAACAAACTTCTAAAATTATAAGCAAAATCCACTAGTTAAACTGTACTTTTACCTCCCTTATTATCAATGTTAATTACAACATATCTGTAAACTAAGTATACAATACTACATTAGATATACAGTACAGTATCTGTCATTTAGCGCACTGTTTTGCTTTTTTATGACATCATTCTGATTTAACGGACACTTGAAGAATCCCCCTATTAGTTCATAATATCAAAGGTTTACTGTAAACATAAAGAAGTACTGTAAGTCAGACAGAAGTGTACAGAAGATATACAGGTGATCCTCAACTTACAATGGTTTGACTTACGATATTTTGACTTTACAATGCTGCAAAAGCAATTACTTTGAAGGTGAAACTTAACAATACTGGTATTTAGTTCTTTTCAGTAATTATTTGTTTACTTATTCAGTGACAGTAGTTATTTACTTACTTATTCATTTATCATATCATATTCATATTTGACCTACGATATTTTTGACTTACGTT